CCCCCCCACCAGACTGCCTGCAAGGTAAGTCTCACAAGATTAGCAGGTCTGCCAACTGCTGCCACTCTGTTTTCAACCTCATGATCTCTGACTGTGTGTGCTGAAGCCTGATGCTCCTTGGAGTTGTAGGACTGTACCAGGAGCACAGCCTCCACATAAAAACGCATGCAGAGAGTCTGCTGTCATAGTGGCAGAGAGCGGGTTGAAAGAGTAAATATGGGGGATACTCTACCTAGAAAAAAATAATCCCCAAATTCCATTCTAAAAGACATCAGGTTTTTTAAGCCAGCCTTGAGATCTCTGGAAAAGTGCAGAGGATGCCGCCTGGGGGTGGCAGTACTAGGAGTAGTAGGTTCTCCCCAAACAACAGAGATTCTGGTATCATGACTCCAGAGTTTTTTTGACAGGGCCTCTGTCTCATCCAGATCTTTCAGCCCTACTTTTGGCTTTTCTTCTGCTCTCTACAACCTTTCTTCGCCACTCCTGGTTTCCCCTTTGCCCTTAGCTACTCATCCCAGCTTCTACTTCCTTACTCAGCTGGTCCCAACCTGTGCCACTGGTCTGGTCAGCTGAGGGGCCCTGTCAGTCCAGTCTTAACACTCTATTCCGAGCTCCAGTGCTTCCTCACTCCGGATTCCAGTCCCAGTTTCCCTCCCGAGGCTCGCTCTTCCAGCCTCACAGAATCACTGCTGTTGGAAGGTGCCTCTGGAGATTGTCTAGTCCAATCTCCCTCTACTCAAAGCTGAGTCAACTAAAGCAGATTGCTACTCACGTCTTTGTCTCCCTCTTTTTTTCCAGTTAGTTGGTACTTCCACACAGGCTTCCTTGGGATCCTTGTCCTGACCTTCCCCTTTCACGCTGTCCCTTAATGTTTTCCCTGCCAAATGCATACCCAAGGCTCTGGTCCCCATCCCCTCCACACTGCAGATAGATTGTTTTCTTCTATGATGCCTGAGCCACAGGCTCAGGAACGCAGTTGTACAGTCTCCTTGCAATCAGATTGTACCCTTGAACCAGGGTAGCCCCCATGTTGAAGGAGGATTAGAAACAGGCAAAGTCCTGTCCCCTGAAACAAGGAAACTCCTCCTGCCACCAGGGCTGCAACAGACTTGCTTGGGTGCACAGGACATTACCTGTCTGACTGGACGCGTGTAGAAAGGCAGCCTCACAGGGGCTCCTTTAGGCAACTGAGCTGCTAAGTTGACAAGAGCCATGACTGAGCATGCACAAACCGCAATTTTCCAAAAAAACTTCACAATGCTACATGTCCTTGAATATTCTCAGGGCTAGCACACTGCTAGTGTGACTTCTTGCCCTGTGTTAGATCCTTGCTCTAAAGCAGAGCATGCCAGAGTCAAAATGATTACCAGAAGTTCTCTAATGGACAAATCAATGATTTGTTTTGTCTTTCCTGTTATCTTTTTTCTCAGAAAGACTAAACTTAAAAAAAGAAAATAAACCTGGGGCAGACACCCAGCATGGAAAATTTCAGCACGGAGATTTCCAATCCAGTCAAGTTAGAAACAAATGAAATAAATTCCTAGAATGGGTCATGTCAGGTATTGCTTTTTATTTGGTTATAACTTGCCTTTCTTTTCCACAGAAACAGAGCTGTTGCGGTGATGCTCAATGTGGCAAGAAGAGCAGTAAGGGTAATGAGGACTCCCCACCCATAAGAGGTCTCTATGTACCCTGTACCTGTAAGAAAGAAGGCAAAAGAATCATAGTGTGAGTGGAAGTTATAATCCTGCTGCATTTTTAACCCTGCAAAGAGCTTTGAGAGTGCTAAAATACAAAAACAATGCAGAATATGCTGGCACAGATGCATAGAACCTTCAAAACGTAGTTTGATTGAACAGAGAGCAGGGTGCAGCTGAAGAATCACACAAATGAGACTGGATATAAGCAGCTGCACTTCATGTAGATTAGAGGGAGGTGACATAACTATGAGGGTCAAGAAAGGTGGTAGGTAGAGGCTGGCAAAGGTCTTTAGTGATAGGGGCAAAAAGCCATATGGTGGAAAGCACACAGGCCACACAATGTAGCAGGGTGGGTACTGTAGGCATCCTCTGACCAGTGTAGCAAAGCTATTTCGTCATGCCTCTTTGCATTTACGCTTTCTAAATTTTTCATATCCAGCTCCAGTAATGCAAATCCAGCCAGTCAGCAGCATGCATGTTCTTATCACTTTTCTTTAACATTCCTCTTATCTTGGGATGAAGCTCTCCCTTGCTTTCCAGTCTGCACATTAACAGAACAACTGAGCCCTTGTACTACATGGAAAAGGGGGAAGGGTTATGGTGAGCCCCTAACGGTGAGTGCCTAACCTGTATGTCTGATTATGGCAAGCACCCTAACCACTGACCTTGCGTTCAACTGTCTCTGTCACACTGCTAAAGGCCAAACTGCACTGACACCTAAAATCACCCTCTGACCCAGTGCCGAGGCTCCCCAGTTAGACCTCAACTTTAAGCCTGCTGTTCCCAGGAAGCTGTGGCAGGGCAGATAAAAATTACTTTATCTTCATGTCCCATCTGTGTATTGGGAACATTAGCACAGGTCACCTGTGTAAAGCACATTCAACTCTAATGGCATTAAGTACTGGGCAGAAAGTTTTATTCCCACCTGACTTCATAACGTATTTGGGTAGAGGAAAAGAAGAGCAAAGATCATCTTTTCATAGACAGATCCAGCTGATTTTTAACCTTTTGCCCTTTCTTTCTGGTTGTTCACTTACCTCTAGCAAGCACAAACACTCCTTTTCCTGTTTGCTGGATGTCATTCCATTCGACCTTGCAGTAGTATGTGCCAGTAGAAAAGGTGTTTTCAAGTGGCATGATTCTGTAGTCATAAGATAGTGTAGCAGTTGTATTCTCTTTTCCAGAAGGGATGATTACATTTTCCAGCTTTCTAGAGATGGATGTTTTCTGGCCCAGTGAATCAATCCAGTAATAGAAGACTGAAAATTTAGTGTATTTTGGCAGGTAAGGGAAGATGACTTTACAGGGGATGGATATTCCTTCCTTGAGCAGTGCAACATGGATTGGAGGTTTCTGCTGTACATCCACATTTTGCCCTGTAAGGGTAATAGTTGTTCGCAGTCACCTAACATCACTTTAAGTCAGGAGAGGACTGTTGCCCCAAAGACAGGATCACACAGTGAAAATAACCCTGTATCAGGAAATGCGCCTGTCACACGCAGTGTTGGTCCTTGTGAGGAATTCGGTGATTCAGAGCATGTGCCCTGTGTGATCTGCCACATCTCTTAGGTAATTGCTGTGTGATTTGCAATAGCCTGTTGCATTCACAGGCTTCCCCTTTTCCCTTGTGAGCTCCTCTGTACAATGACAGCACGCAGAAAGACAGGAAATGAAGCAGGAAGCGAACTGATTTTGCAGTGGTGTGAGACTGTATTTACAGCTGATTAATAGAAAGCGATTTTCCAAGGCAAACGCTAGCTGGACATCTCCTGAAACTCCTAAGTTACAAACCTCTGCTTGGGAGTCTACTCGTGGCCATGTGATAGCTCTGCACCAGTGAAGGTGCTGTACACAAGCAGGTGTTACCAGTCGGTATTTCTGAGGAAGGAAATTGCATATTCTGTATGGGGGCCAGCACCGGGGCCGTGAGAAGTAAGACATGGTTTAATCACTCCAAGCTTTTGCTGCTGCAAACGGGCAGCAAAGCACGAGACTCTCTGCTAGATATGGGAACTATCTGCCGAAGACCGCAGATCTTAAGTATCTATATGTGACAGTATCTTAGGCAGAAAGATGGGAGATCATGCCCTTCATGTGCTTCCTCCTTACACAGACAGGGCTGTTGAAAGTCATCTATCACTGCAGTTCAGTGGACAATAGTGTCAGGAATTATAAGAGAAGATGAATAATCACAGATGGGGAACCACATCATAGGTCACTCCCTGTTTTGTTTAATAATAATAAAAAAAAGCTAAGAGTGAGCCACAGGCTAGTAAGGAGCCTGGGGTACAGGACCTCTTTGGCTTCCCAGCGAAATCTGAGTTTAACATTGAACAGCCTCTGGATCTATTTGTTTGTCAGCTGACATAACACCACATATAAAGCAACTTAAGAGGAGGCCCATACAAACCACTGTTGTCTTTAAAAAAGGGAACTGGAAACTTACACACAAGTCTTCTTACAAAATGAAGGATTCTTTCAGAGACATGAAAATAGAAGGGAAAAAAAAAAGTAGTGAGAGAAAGTAGGGGATGGGCAGGCTTTTCCATTCATGCTTTTGATGAGATTCCCTGGGGTTCTGCATCTATGAACAGGCTCATAACAAGGCATTAAAGCTGTCCCAGAGCACAGCCAGGCTTGCTTTCCTGTCATCATGCGCTAACGCTGCATCACAACAGCGGCATCACCTCTGCACAGCAGGACTCGGCATCGGAAAAGGCAATTCAGACTTAGCGCTGCTGAATGTCAAGTACTGAGGAAGTGTTGTGGGGGGCAATAACGGAGGGAGGGCACAGCCATGTCCAGAAAGGACTTCTGGGAAGTAACATCTGTTAAGGAAAATCCACGACAGATGACATAGCCAGAGACAATAGCCTGACAGTAAGGAAGAGCTTAGGTTACATCACTAGAAAAAGGTTCTTAGCTGTAAAAGCAGATGAGATACAGTACAGTCCTAAGGGACACGCTCATTTGTTGTGAGTGCACAGTCGTCTGTACACTAGATAGAATATTATGGAAAGACAGTAACAGAAAATCCTGCAGACGCTGTGGGAGTGATAACCCGAGTGGTCTCTTCTGGGCCTTATTTTCTAAAATCATTCATCATTCATCATCCTTCTCCTCATCTCTACCCAGCAGAACACACATGAATATACTTTCTATACAAGACATGGCTAAGCACTGCTGTAACAAAACAGAGGAGAGATCCATCTTCTTACAGTATCCCAGGAGCCATTAGCTCGAGAAGAACATGCCAGGGAAAAAGCCAAACCATTTCATTTAGGTTATCTAACCCTTCTCCCATGTTCCTCCTTTCTTGAGGATTCTCTCTCTCAGCTTTGAAATGCTTAAAAGACAGAAATAGCAGCAGCGTGCAAATTCCTAGCGGGGATCTCTGGAAATTAGCAAAAGATAGCAGCTGGAAATGCTCTAATATGAACAAACGTGAGAGTAAACAAAAGGAATTAAAAAAATGGGTTTTTACCTCCACACTGAAGCGACCAAAGAAGCAGGAAGATGACTTTTAGATTAGAGGCCATGACGAGGGTCAAAGGCTGTAAGAAAGCAACCAGATACAAAGATCCAAAAGGCAAAAGAGACAGGGGGTTGTCAGGGATTTCCGTGCCCAGGCAGCTGGTTGATCCCCCGCCGTTCGTGAAGGGACGGGCAGGATGGACACACACTGCTTTTGGCAAGCTGTTCCTGGCAGATGCAGGTTCTTCTGCTTTTTGGTCAGACTCCTCCCCGCACCGGGGTTCATTTCTCTGTACTATTACGATGGTGCTACACCTACTAGCGGGTGTCAAGACTAGACCGTAAGCTCTTTAACACATAGAGCTTTATCTCCTGGTGACTGTAAAATATCACACGCATTTAAAGCAAATTTTGTCACCTTCCACAGTGATTGAAGCCCCGTGTTGGAATAATATGGAAAAAACCTGCTTTGATGAAGATTGAGGCTGTTTGAGGTGAACGGGGTCAAATTCAGTGAAGGATTCAACTGACTCTGGAGCGATGGACAAGCTAAAAGCGGCACAGCGGGATTTTTACCATAATTCTGCAAACATTTGTTTACACACTTGTTTTGGATCAGCTGTTCCTGATTATCTCACTGCATGGACCATCCAGGGCACCTTACTTCAAATTATCTTAATCAAGAACTTTATTCACATGGGGAAGATACTGAGCATTGCCACAGGGCGTGGGTTCACAGCAGAGCAGCACTGTCAAAATCCTTCTTTACGTGAACACTCAAGTGTGGAATCACCTGTTTTGCCTTCAACATGGAAAACAAGTACCCGCACCAGCACTCAGTACAGAGGAACAGTCTCACCGTCCTCCTGACTGCACAAAACTTCCCTCTGCAGCCAAGTCCTCCACTAGGTCACTTTGGAGGAAGGCACTCGTATTCCAGAAGTGAGGACAACCAGACAGTGAATTCATCCCTAACAGCTGGGATGTTTCAGATCCACACGATGCTGGCTCTGAATCAGCTTCACGATGCAGGCCAGCTTTAAGAAATCTATTGTAGGGGAA